GGGTTCAATCCCTACTCAGACAACTAAGATCCCACATGAATAAATAAATAAACATAAAATATAGGGGGAAAAAAACAAGAAAAAACCATCTGAAGGTACTGGAGAGTGACAAAAATCAAGCGGAAACTGAAGGGGAGCCTACACTGGGAAGGGGAAATAACACTCGGTGAGGTTCTGTTTCATGGTTTCGACAAGTGTAGCCATTATTCTCTACTGCACAGAACAGATAACATTTATTCTATATATTACAATGGCCAAAGTTTAGAGCAGTCTGGTCAGGGTTGGGGTGACCAAAGTGGATGGGAAGTGAGAGGAGAAGCCTCAGAAGGGGTTGACTGACGGTCCATCCATCCACCCATTCATCCATCTATCACCCGCTCAGTCACGTCTGACTCCTTGCCACCCTGTGGACTGTGGCCCGCCAGGCTCCTCTGTCCACGGGATTGTCTAGGCAAGAATACTGGGGTGGGTCGCCATTTCCTCCTCCATGGGATCTTCCTGACCCAGGGATTGAACCTGTGTCTCCTGTATTTCAGGTGGATTCTTCACTGCTTGAGTGGTAAAGGCAGACCTTGAGTGACAGTGGGCGCTCTCAATTCTGCATCAACTCCATCCCTATCTCTGGCCGACCTTTCATTACGCATGTGCAGTTCAGTTTCCAAGAATCCCAGTTAAGAATAAAATAACTCAACACAAAATTTCAGCTACATCCAGCAGAGAAGATACAAGGCTATAGACTGAGTAGGTGTTCTCCTAAATTTATATTTTGGAATGTATTCCCCAATATGATGGTATATGGAAGCAGAGCAGTTGGATGGTGATTAGATCACGAGGGTGGCACTCTCATGAACAGGATTAGGGCCCTTATGAAAGAGACCCCAGAGAGCTCCCTGGCCTCCTTATACTGTGTGAGAACACAGTGAAACAATCATTTGTGAACCAGGAAGCAGGCCTTACCTGACATCATATAGACTGGTGCCTTGATCTTGGACTTCCCAGCTCAAGAACTGTGAGAAATACATTTTTGTTGTTTATGAATCACTAAGTATATGGTAGGTATTTTTTATCCTGAATGGACTAAAACACAAGAGTTTGGAGTTTGATTTCATCCAAGCTGACTGTGTGCTAAAACAAAACAAAATTAGTTCTCTTTGGAGGAATATAACAGAATCCAGAGACTCTATCATTCATAATGTCTAGGATAAAGTTAAAAATTACTAGGCATAAGAAGAGACAGGAAAACGAGGCCCACATTTAATAAAAGACTAAATTTGTTAAATATTCCCAATAAAATATGAGATGGGGATAGAATATTAATGTACAGGAAATCAACTTTCCTGGTGGTTCAGATAGTAAAGAATCCATCTGCAATGTGGGAGACTGGATTCCATCCCTGGGTTGAGAAGATCCCCTGGAGAAAGGCATGGCAACCCATTCCAGTATTCTTGCCTGGAGCATCCCCATGGACAAAGGAGCCAGACAGGCTACAGTCCATGGGGTCGCAAAGAGTCAGACATGACTGAGTGACTAAGCGTGCACACACACACACCAGGAAGTCAAATGGATCTTAGGGTGGTGACTTTGGTGCTGATTATAAAGGTGGCTGAATTCTAAACAAGTTTATCCCTTAGATTATTTAGGTTTTCAGGCTTCTTGAAGGATTTGGATGTCTTTCCCTTACAGTGAAGATGTATAATCTCTAGAAAAGATCCTTAAATTCAAGTTTAGGGGAGCTGAGGTATAGGTCTCCCAGAGGGTGGTGCGATTCTTATGCAAATTTCTTCCAGCACTGCATCGCCTATAAGACTTAATTTCCCTGTTTGATATGCCTTTTGCCATCAGTCTTTCTGTCCATATCTCTTCTCCAATCTCTGACTGCATGTAACCAATGACCTAGGTTGTACTGCAATATATGTTTGCAGTTTCTAGAATTGATATGTATATAAAATGATTCATACAGTATATAGTCTTTTGTGTATGGCTTTGTTTTTGCTAAACATGCTGTTTTTGAAATTCATCCACACTGTTGCAAGTATTAGTAATACTAGGAAAGCAGTAGAAAAGGCACAAACTTCCTTTTTATTGTTGTTATTCTATTGTTTCAATATAGTACACTTTGTGGATTCATTTATCTAGTGATGACTATTTGGATGGTTTCTAGTTTTTGCTATTTTTAACAAAATTGGTACCAACACTTGTAAAAAACAAGGCTTTGTATGGAAATAAGCTTTCATTTTTTTCATTTCTGGGGGTAGAATGGCTGGATCATCAAGACAGGTATATGCTGATAAAAAACTTAAAAATTGTTTTCCAAAAGTGGTTATTATTTTATACCCCTACCAGCAAAGCCTGAGTTCCAGTTGCTCCTTAGCTTCAGTTAACACTTGAGACTGTCAATCTTTTGTGTTTTAGTCATTCTAGGGAAGGGGTGGTGTCTCCCTTTAAAATTCACATGCTCAAAACTCTGAATTCTCATTTGGCCCCATCTTATCAGCTATCGCTTTGGACTTTCACTGTCAATGACAACTATCACAACCAAAGAAATAATAATAGGGCAACACCGCCACCATTAATGGAGCATTTATCGTTCTTAACAAGATCTGTCTTGGAGTACCATCTGGGGAGCATGATAAGTACAGTTACAAGTTATCTGTTGCTGTGTAACAAATTACCCCAAATATTAGCAGCTGAAAATAAGAAACATTTGTTTCATACAGTTTCTGGGAGTTAGGGGTCCAGGAGCTGCTTAAAGTGGTCCTGGGTCCAGGTCTATTATGCTGTTGCAGTTAGGGCATTGGCTGGTTCTGTAATCATTTGTAGGCGTGACCGAGACAGGAGGGTTGGCTTTCAAGTCTACTCACTCACTTAGCTGTGGGCGATAGTCCCATGGGGCTGCACAACACAGCTGCTGGTTTCTCTGAAGTGAGTGATCCAAAAGACAAAGACAGATGTTGATTACACAGATCAACTAGTACACAGTGAATATTTATTGACTGAATGGGCGTGTGCCTGACACTCTGCTAAGCATTTACTTACATCATCTTATTTAATCCTGATAACAACTTGTGGACCATTGTCCTCATTTGCGCTGATAAAACTGAGGCTTATAAAAGTGAAGCAACCGTTTTAACTCAACAAAGCTGAAAGGCGGACTTCTCTAGCCCCAAAGGATGTGGAAAGTGGTCACATTGAAAATTAATTGCATTATTCCAAACAAAATTAGACTTCTGTGGTTATTTACATTTTAACTTGAGTCAAAAAGTTTTGACTCATTTACACAGAAGGAAAGAAATTAGAATTTTTGTCAGTAGGGAAACCCTCAAACTCTTCAGGAAGATAAAGAATTGATTCTGTAATTCTCCACTTCACAAAGTGTTTTCATTTTTTCTCTATTACCACACTAACGTTTCAGATTCTTGGCAGATCTTTGAAAATGAGGAAATTCAAGAATTCTGCCTCTGGCTTTCCAAAGATTCAAGGCAATTTGATCATTCAGTGTACATATAGTGCTATGGTAGTTGTTGGGGTCTACAGAGCAAGTGAAATAGTACCTGTGGTTCAAGAGGTCGCAATCTTTTGGAGATTAAGTAAAAATAATCTAATATATGGAAGTGTAAGTGCCATGGAGAGGCACATAGGGAATGCTTCTTGAAGTTTGGAGTCTTAAAAAGATAAGCCTCATTTTAAAAACATTTGGTGTTTACGATAATAACCTCGTGTGATAATTCTGGAAATCAACAGGTGAAGACGAGGGGGCCAGGTCTCCTTTCATTATTATTTTTCAGCAGTTGGAAAACTTACAAGGCCAGTGACTTGCTTACTTTTTTAGACCTAGGCTCTCAGGCAGCAACCAGTCTCCCACCAAAGGTGTCACAAAGTGGGTTTCTGGAATGCGAGAAAGAAGGAAGGGTGACTAAGGTTCAAAGTCCAGGTAACCTCCCCTGAGAATGCAGAAATCAAGCCAGGACAAAGACAAGGTGGACTGGGTACAGCGGTGGAGTTAAGAGACTGGCTCGAATTAGAGTTAAGGTGATAACGCCCGGTAGAAACAGACAAGGCCATGGTACTTGGCCCAGTCCTCATCAACTGGGAAGTGAAAAGCTCTCCTAGAAGAGCTGAAATGATGAACTGTTCTCCTCACTCACACCACAAGGACTGTCCCATGCACAGCTGGAACTCAGACCACTTATGCCTTGCAAAAACTAGTTTCAGACCCAAATTTGCTTTGACCACAGAGCACGCTCAGCTCTCAGTCTTCTGCAGAAATGTAGATTCCTTGACTTCAGACTCCTTGACTAGCTTCCACAGTTTGGGGCAGAGCCTCGCGGGGAGAGCTTGAGTACTGTCTTGGTAGAGGATCAAGTTCACTTGAAGGGGCAGGCGTGAGGACGAAGGGGCGCCCAGGTGGGGAGTCACAGTCGACCCCGAGAAAACAATCCATCAATGTGATTGATTTTGACCTGGTCAGCAACCTTTTGCCAAGGAGCCAGTGTGGTTATTCGGAGACGGGAAGACGGGAAAGTTCAGGGTGCTGGCCCTAGTCCTCTGATACGAATCAGTGGCAAGGTCATGGTCACCCAGTAGTGAGCCTCCTGGGTCCTCCCAGCTACTTCTTCTGGGGCTGCAATCTACCCTTTGCAAGAGACTAAGTGTTGGTGGAGAAACGCAGGAGCCAGACGGAGGCTGCTCATCTGGCGGGCCCCTGCCCCCTCCCCTGCTCTTCCCTCCAGTCCAGGCAGGTCCCAGGGACCAATGTCCGGCCGGGCTGCAATGGGCTCAGAAACCCACCTTTGCCTGCTCGTTTGTGTCTGTGGGCTGCCCATTGGGTGCCATCCCCTCTATGAGGGTCTCGCAGACTCCCTGACGCCTAAGTCCTTGGCGGTTTGGTAAACTGGGTCTCCTTTCACTGCATGGAGAGACGAAGGTTACCGGGGCCTCCACCGCGGCCTGCAGGCGGTGCCCGCGGGCCGGAGGTCAGGGCCCAGGGGCGGCCCGCTCACCTGTAGGGCCGCCGGAGCATCGCGCACGCCGCGGGTTGAGGCGGGGTGGGCAGTAAAGTCACCCGCACGGCGGAGACGCCTCAAACGCGCCCGGAACCCGGAGCTCGGGGTCGCCCAGGGCGCGCAAGGTACGCTCCGGGGCGGCGCCTCCCGACCCCGGAAGGGAAAGGCGTTTCGGGGCGAGGGGAGCGGAGAGCGAGGTACGCGCAGCTACCTCAGAAGTTGTCCCGCCGCCCGCCGCGCCCCCTCCCCGCCACACCCCCTCAGAGGGGCTCCCGGACACGCCCCGGGGCCCAGCCCGAGCCGGGGGTGGCGGGGGCAGCACCGCCAGCGCCCGGCTGCCGCGGCGCCGACCCTCGGGTCCCAGGCCGCGCGGGGAGACTCTCGCGCCAGAGCGGCCCCGTGCGCAGCCCCTCACCGGGGCGCATGCGCAGTGGCGAGGCGGCGGCGTGTCGGAAGAGGGGCCGGCGGTGGGCGGGGGCCGGGTGGGCGGGGCGCGTCGGAAGCGGCGAAGGCGCGGGGTGGGCGGGCCCCGGGTGGGCGGGGCTCCCGCCGAGTTGCCTGCGCGCGGCTGAGAGCGCGGAGCCCGGCGCGAGGCGCCAGCGAGCGAGACCTGGGGCCGGCGGGCGCGCGGGTGCGCGGCGGGCGGAGCGCGGCCGCCGGGCGGGCGCGGAGCCCGGGTCTCGGCGGCGCGGGCCCCGGCGGCGGGCGGCGATGTTCCACTGCATCCCACTGTGGCGGTGCAACCGTCATGTGGAGACCATCGACAGGCGCCACTGCTCGCTGCTCTACGTGCCCGAGGAGGTCTACCGCTACGCCCGCAGCCTGGAGGAGCTACTGCTGGACGCCAACCAGCTCCGCGAGCTGCCCGAGGTGAGTGCGGCCTCACCTGCGCGCCCCGCCGCCCCGTCCCCTCCTTTCCGCTCCCCCTTCCGTCCCCTTGGCCACCTGGGGGGGGGGAGCGCTGGCCGCCAGGTCCCGCGGGCACGACGTCTACCTGCGCTCACCTGCTGCTTCCTCCTCAAAGTTCCTTTTCTTTCTACGGAGCGACCTGCTGTGGTCGCCGGAGCGTGTGCGCTTTGGGGAAACGTCCTGTGGAGACACGCCGTCTAGATACACATCTAGGGACCAGAGCCCGGCACCTGTGAGCGGGCGAGTGCGGGGCCAGGAGGCCCGAGACGGTGCCCGGCTGGGAGAGCCCGGCCCGGCGTCCGGCTCTCGGGGCCGGTCCCCTCGGCCCCGCCACGCCGCGATCGCCGGCCGGGGCGCGGTTCCCCTCTGGCCCGGGTAGGGCCGAGAGGAGGAGGCGGGCAGCGCGAGGGCTGGCCGTGCTATCTCGGCATCTCCCGAGGAATGTGCTCCCGGCCTCGTCCGGGGAAGAGCCCGTGGCTGGCCCGCCCTCCCGGGCTTCAGGACCGGCCGCCCGGGGCGGGGCGGGGTTGGCGGGGGCTGCCCCGGCGGAGCTGTGTGGGCAGGTGCCCAGGTACCCGGCTCTGCGTGGACCTGTTGCGTGAAAGGAACCGCGGCAAATGCCAGCAGAGCCTCCGCCCGGCGGGCCAGCCTTGCCGCCGGGCTCCCGGAGCAGCGGCGTTCAGCCTGCTCACTGCTGCCTTTGCAGGGGTTGCATTTACCTCTTCTGAGTTGTTTGCCGTACATTAATCACCCTACCCGGCCCGACCTGTCGAAGCGACACATGGTGATTGTGCTTTAATGGAGGGTCACTCGGGGACTGCGAAACTTTTACGCTTCGAGCCTGCCTGGGGAACTTAGCTTGAGAGAGCCCGAAGGAGGAAGGTAGCCCAGCATCCAGGGCTCTGTAGGAAGTTTGGGCACTTGATCCGAAGGTGTGCAGGAAGTTCAGAGGCTGCTGGCAGCGGGGCCCGACCTGAAGGCCCGAGCGTCCTCCTGGACCCTTTGTTAACACAAAGCCGAGACGTGGTCACAAAAATACTCAGCGGTCAAATGTTCTGGCCTGTTAGAATGACCCGATTCGCCCTCCGGCCCGGCAGAGCGTTTTAAACTGAACTGTGTTTTTCCTCAATATTTCAAGTGTTGTTATTCCTGGATTAACTTTCCTTGGTCCCCCGTTAGAAGTGATTGGATGGTTTGCTCTGTGCAGTTGAGGGGGGATTATCCTCACTAGGATCTTTGCAAAGCTCCCCCCCCCCACCCAAGCTTTATTTAGCTTAGAAGCAGAAAAGCCATCCAATTCCCTCCAGCATTTATTATTTTGCAGGCATTTTCAAACACATGGTTTTATCTGGCCTTTAGCTGCCTTAAATTTGACTTAAAAGTCATGAGCTCACTTACTGTCTTTTTTTTTTTTTTTCACTTACTGTCTTAAGTTGTAATAAGTTTTAGGCATTTCTACTGTCAGGAATATTGAATGTGTAATTTAATACTTTTCAAGGGCTTCAGAATGAAGTTATTAAAGCTTGAGTGAAAAGCTGTTCGACTAGAAATGTTTCAGGGCTCTTTGTGGTGTTTTTGTTTGTTTGTTTTCCTTTGTAGCACTGGAAGATTTCCTGTGACTGGATTGGCTTTTTACTGCCTTCCACAACGTTTGTGGGTTTTCTGTAATGTTGGGAGATCCAGCTTGGTGTGGGAAATTATGGGGTTTGGATGTGTCAGGTATTCCTACTGATTCTAGATGGAAACTTCTCAGAAGCTCAAAATACCGTTGGCTCGCCCTCAGTAAATATGGTAAAAAAAAGGCTTTTCAAAGGCTATAGGAGATCTTGCTTATGGATAATTGCCGTTATAGCTCTTAAAGTAGTTTTATAGTTTTCAAGTTGTGTAAAATGTTTCTCCCTGCCTTCTTGTGTGCCTGGGTGTGTGCAAGTCAGACTCCAGGAACAGCCTTGAAAACACGGGCGTTTCATTCACAGTCTTTGAGATCCGAGTGGCTCATTGGTGCCACTCACCGCTGGCCTGGCCTCCTCCTCCAGCCCCTGTCCACTTACCCGCCACATCACCAGAGGGCCCCTTTTGCTGATACACCTCCAGGGTCCTTGGGGTGGTGGCCGTACCTGTGGTACGAGCTCCCCTCTGCAGTTTGTTTGCAGCCTTGGTCCCCCACCCCCAACAACAAAGGCACACACACACCTCAGCCTGCAGCATCATGAAAAGCGTCTCCTCTCCCTAAAGGTGTGCAACCTCTGATTTGCTCCAGTCCCCTCATTTTCCAAAGTGAGACTCAGGATTGAAGTGACTTTCAGGGCTATCAGCTAGTGAGATCCCATCGCTGTGGCCACCTCCGCCTGCCTCCCCTGCCACGCGTCTGCCAACTGAACAGGAAGCTGGCCTCGTGGGCTCTCAGACCCTCAGTTATTCAGCCCCTCTGGTTTATTCGTGTCATGAAAGCTTGGCCTCAGTCGAGCCTTTATTGACCTTCCAGGATTTTGCTAGTTGTCAGGGATACAGAGATTGAAGAAGATGTGAGTCCTGTGAGCAGTTTGCAGCTTTGTGGGGAGACTGTGACTTTAGTACAAGTGTGGTGGGTGTGGGTGGAGCGGGCACCCCAGTCATCAGACTCAATGGTGGTTACTGACCTAATTGCTGACCTCTTGCTGAACCTGCATCAGCACCCTCAGCAGTGGCCACACCCACAGACAGCCACACCCACCCACAGCCCACAGACAGACTGAGAGTCCTCACCTTCAGCCCCCTCACCCCGTCCCCTCCTCCGGCTGGTCCCTTTGGGATGTATGTTAACGAGACGCCTTGAAGTGCCCCCTTAGGAGCATGAGCTGTGTGTCCAGTGGGTCCTGCTCAGTAAGCCCCCGTTCTTCTGTTGAATGAAGGTTGCCGAGTCTGATGCAGATCCTCCTCTGCTCCTTTCTTGTCCCTTGAAGCTCATCACTGCTGTGGCCTCTGGCCTTCTCTAATGAAGTCAGAGAACAGTCAGGTCTTCAGAAGGTCATCCATGTGGTGCAGAGGTTTTGTCTGCCTCTCCTGCTTTCCTCTCTGTGTTTCTGACACCATCAGTTTTCCTGTCGGTGTGCACAATTCTCAGATACCTTCAAACATGTGTTTGCTGTGGTCTCTCTGGACCATTGCAGGGCCCACTCTACCAGGCAGCAGACACTTGCGGCGAGTGCTCTCAAGCCTTTCTAGGTTAAACAGTTGAGTTTCATCTTGTCTCCTCCTCTTAGAGCTCAGCTGATGGTTCCACGATTGCCAGATGCCATCTGCCCTTGCCCTTCCTTCTCTCTGCCATCCTGCTTTATTCTTTTCCTAGCCCTTAGCACACTTATCACCCCCTGACTCCAGACTGGGTCCTCACTTACTCATTCTTTGTCTCCTCATCAACCAGAGCTTAAGCTTCACGTGGGCAGGGGAGTTTCAGTTCGTGGCTGAACTGAGGACAGTGTCTGGGACACCGTGGGCACGCCTGTTGCCTGGATGTGTCCTTACACGCCGTCGCAGGGACACCGTGCTGTTTCTTCACCATCGTGATCGCCCTTCCCACACCTAACTTCTGTGCACTGGTCTGTTGGAATCAGAAAAGACATCCAGAATTCGGTGTCCTATCCTGCCTGCCTTTGTCCTCTGTCTGTTCTGTGCCGGACACTTTATTTATTTATTTATTTATTTATTTGCCGCGAGGCTTGCAAGATCTTAGTCCCCCTCCCCCCAGGCATTGAACCTGAGCCCCCAATAGTGAAAACGCTGAGTCCTAACCACTGGCCCGCCAGGGAGTTCCCCCACGCTGGACACTTTGACTGTCTTGTCTTTCTGAAGTCGTCTTCGTGCGTCATAAACATAATTTCTGAGTGTGACTGCAGGCTCTTCAGCTGTGATCTGTTGAGAATAAGTCCGCTTTATCTTCAGCCCGCTGTGTTTGAATGTGCGGTGGCTCCTCTCGCCAGCAGTTTCTTTGCTGGAGGCCGGACCTGTGGTTTGTCTGGGCTCACAGGTTCAGGAACTCACCCTGTCTCCATCCCTCCTGTCACCGGGTCCCACCATTTCTCGGGCCGGTCTGGAAGGAGCAGGGGTGGGGCTGCTGGCATCAGTTCGGGGGCTGCTCTTGCATCACCTGCATTCTTTCCTCAAGCCTTGGCTTCCTCCTGTGTCACGGTGACGTCTACCTTATAGGGTGATTTCTGGGGATGAAAGAGAGGATGCATGCAGAGCACTTACAGTTAGATCTGTGATGTTTAAGATTTCTGGATATTATGGTAAGGCACTTTTATTAGGAAAGAGTGTTTTTCTTTTCATATAACAAATTTATAATATTTATACAATTGTTCTCTTCTTTCACCAAAATATAATATTCTCTTGATTTTTGAGGAAACGATGTCTTTTAGACTGGAGTTTAAAGGCAACTTCCTGGGAATTTGGGGGGAAAAAAGTTAAATTTTTAATATCCTTTTAAGTAATAATTAAAGGAATCATAGATTCTGTAAAATCCAGGTGACCTCACAAGTGCGTTCTGCCAAAAGGATTTCCTGCTGATGTTCCTGTGTGCACCCTTTCAGTTGTAGCCAAGGGGGAAAGGACAGATTTGGACTTAGTGCAGAAGTCATCTCTTGGGGTCAAGTGAAGGCTGGGAGTTCGTGGACAGGGGTTTCAGGGCAGTCCATTAGAGGAGAGCGACAGATGGCTGGCTGAGGGGTCCCAGCCCCATGGTCATCATTGCCTGTTGTGCTCAGTACATGCTGAGTTCTCTTTTTGTTGCTTTTTTTAATCTGATTTTTACATCATCTCACCTTATAGTTTTATAAGGGCTAAAGCATATAAAGCTTTATATTTGGACAGACTTTAAGTAACATTATCCTGGAGGATTAGAAGCTCAGACGGTAAAGCGTTTGTTCGCAATGCTGGAGACCTGGGTTTGATCCCTGGGTTGGGAAGATCCCCTGGAGAAGGAA